CAGGGTCGGAGCAGCAACAGAGAAAGCTCTCCCCCGAGTAGTCGCCAATTGGCATTGCCCGGTCGACGGTACCCGGAGGAGGCCCAGCCTGTGAGATCTTAATTTGTGAGATTTCCTGCTTTGATAGGACGAAAGAAGTTTGGAGGATGTTGGGTTTCTATTTTGGGGGGTTTGTTGGGTTTCTATTTTGGGGGGTATTGTTGACAAGAGGAATGGCTGTGTTTATTGTTTAATGTTATATGGCCCCGGCTATGCACAGTATATATGTGACTGTACGAAATGAAAATGGAAAATAAAAACACATTTACAACAACAACAACAAAAAAAGAAGTTTGGAGGAAGGGAAAAAAGGATCGAGGGAGGGAGGGAGGGAGGGAAGGAGAGAAAAAAGTCAAGGATGAAAAAAGGAGAGGAGAGGAGATGGGAGGAAGGATGAAAGTAAAAAAGGAAGGAAAGGAGGGAGGGAGAGAAAAAAGTCAAGGATGGAAAGAGGAGAGGAGGAGATGGAAGAATGAAAGTAAAAAAAGGAAGGAAGGAAGGGGAAAAAAAGGAAGAGGAGGGACAGAAGGAAGATGGAGCCAGTAAATACCAAGGGAAGGATCAGGGGTCACTGAGGCAGAAGGGCCGTTCCTATCAGGGTAAGAGAGGGCCCAGAGGCTTCCAGCAGAGGCCTGGGTGGGCATCTGCTGGGAATCCCATAGTGGAGGATTCCTGCAGTGGAAAGCAGGCTGGACTGGATGATCTCCAAAGCACCCTTTCAACTCTTGCTTATTCGGGTTCCCTGAACCAAGCCTGCTGTCGGTACCGATTATAAAGAATTCGCTGAAACTGACCTTCCCCGCTATTTGAGACCGCTCCCAGAATCCCGTTCCACCTGGCCTCCCCTCCTCTGCATTTCACGGGGTGTGTGTGTGTGTTTCTGAACCCCGTGTGATGCCCACCACTCCACCCCAGCCATTCCCTCACCTCGATCCTGAATGTTTTCCTCCGAGACTGTCTTGGTGTCGTTCAGCACCTTCTCCGAACCAGCGTGGATGAGTTTGTGGTGAGTCACGCATTTTGGGTCTTCCAAGCTGCCCGATACGCACTGCAGGGAGGGAATTGGGGGTGGTGGTGGTGGTGGAAGAACAGGGAAAGAGAGGGAAGCTTTATAAAACAGCAGTCACCAATTGGTGGGTGGTCCGTGAGAAAATTTTGTTGGTCCACAGAAAAATTACTTGCATTTTTTTATATTCGACTAAATCTGGGGTCCTCTAACTACGACCCCTGGGACGGATACGTGCAATGAACGCTTGTGTTGCTGCAGAGTCTCCCCCTTCGGGGTCTTTTTGTGGGGGGCAGAAATTCCAACTTGGGGTCTCCTTCAGCCTCCTGGTGGGGGGCTTTGGGCAAAGGCCGGAGGGAAGAGCCGCTGGTGGTGAAGAGCCGGAGGGCCT